GTTGATTAAATCAGTTTTTCAGGTATATGCTGCTATCTTAAGAATATACAGAGAGCTTGTAGTATGTACCAAAAATCTGCTTCTCATGAAACAGTAATCCATTTTCTGTTTCATTTTAGCTTCCTTACTTAGGTTCTTTAAAAAATCGCTGGTTCAGACAGAATCAGAGAAACACTGGTTGAGAGGGGCCTCTGGAGTTCAGCTAATCTGACTCCTTTCAAAAATCAGAAACTTTTGGCACCACTCCATCAGGTCAGGTACAGCTTTGTGTATCCAAATTTCAGAAATCTACATGAACACAGATTTCTTGCAGATTACCTCCGGAGGCTTCAGAGCTCCTAGGGAATAATTTTTTTTTCCTGCTGTCCAAGCTGAATCTCCCAAGCAAAGATTTGTCCCTGTTACTGGGTACAGTAAAATTCTACCTTAATTTCCACTTCACCAAACTGAGCAAGTCCAGTTCTCCCAAACTCCTCTCATGCATGCTCTGCAGATTCTGATCCTCAGGGAATTACCAGATATCTTGTGATTCTGGTAATCCTGTTATATAACTCTAATAATGACTCAAAAAACTGTCTTCATTCTGAAGATGTTTGCTAACATCAAGGGATTTCTAGTAGGTTGTTGCATGTTTAATGTATTTGTAAGTGGGCTTACTGAACTATTAAAAAAATACAAGAAATTGATAATTTTGCTGGTATTTCTGAATATTGTGTGCTGAACGATCCATTTTGATAAAATCATCTAATTCAGATATTCAGTGCTACCCAATTATGAATTATTTTTTTGGAACGTGCTAGCACTGTCAGGGGTTAAAAAAAAAGTAATCTTTTGTGCAGGAGAGTGTAAATGTCAGAATAGAAGTTCAACAGTGTCAGGTTGATTTTGGCTAAACGAGCAGGCATCAGTTTCCAGAAGGTGGCACTGTCCTTCCACAAATGCAGTGTCTGAGGTTAAGGATGCTCTTCTCCAGACTGTATATATGGTCTGTCTGCTTCTTAAAGCATAAAGCTAATTCGAGTCTGTTCAGGCTGATTTTTTTTTTTGCATTTATATGACATTGGGTAATAAAATTGCTTTATTGGCTTCATTTTTCATTGCAAATTTGAATAATCACACATTATTCCTTCATTATAAATATCTAATTCAAGCAAAGTGTGTTGATGAGGTTTAAATTACTTAATGGCTTAATTTCTACTTCCCATAAATTTAAAGAAAATCTTGAGTACAGAAGTTTTTCTATCTTCCCAGGGCAGAAAGCAGAAGGGAAAAAAAAAAAAAAGCAAATGTAAAAAAAAATCCCAGGCTGTAATCTGTGATATATTAAAAGTTATATTTAGAAACTAGATTATTGATGGTCTTTTAACAGCATACTGAGGCTGTTTTTGTACACTTGATTTATGTGCTTTTCTTGATACTTTTTTCCCTCGCAATTGATACTGGCAGTGTTGCTGACAAAATAAGTTACACTGATGTTTTGAATCACTGGGAATGATGCCATTCCCTTTTTTATTTCATGCCTTAGTTGTAAATAGGAAACTATGTTGAAGCATAAATTATTTTTTCCGTAGCTTTTTCTCATATGAAAGAAAAAACCAAGCAGGAAGAATCCCATTTATAAAACTAGCAATACAGCTTTGATTTGCTTTACCAGTTGCAATTATTCTGTTTGCTGATAAATATACTAAGAAAGGGAACAAACCCCAATTTTCTCTTGACAATGTGTAGTTACACAATTGTGGAATAAAAACTATTTTATAAACCAAATTATGAGCTATGCTGGCATGCTGGCATGCTGACATTTTGATAGTCTGTGTATAGATGAAGTTTCTGCAGTTTGGTGTGATTTGAGAGGCAGGAGGTGCAAGGTGAATGTGTTTCCTGCACAAAGGAAAGCTGTGATTATTGCAGTAGGGAGCTGCACCCCATCACCATCCCTTAGACCAGCACACAGGCCTGGTGTTGTCTCCAGATGGGGAAGGGTTTGTGTGACACGAGCAGGGGATTAAACAAAAGCTGAATGCATATTGCAAACATGCAGCAAACATTCAGAGCTTTTGGGCTGAAACTGAACTTGGAATTTACTATTAAATTCTCTGAACTGAAGCTGAGAAGGAGTTGTGGGTCCAGTCTGCCTTGGCTCCCTGTGAGGAGTTTGTTTCTGGGACACCTTTGGCACCCCTGGCTCCACACAGCAGTGCAGTCCTTAGGGGTCCTTGTCCCGTGAGTGACCCCAGCTGAGGTTGTTCTGCCTCTCAGGGCCTTCCCTGACAAGGTGGCTCTCCTTTTGGGATGGCCTCTGAAAACTGCTCCTGCTGGGAGCAGTTTGGGCACATCTTTGTTCTGATGTCCTCTGTAGTTGTCACTGTCAGCAGTTCTTGCGAGCCCTCAGTAGATTGATGAGGCTGAAATTTTCCCTGTAGCTCTCTGTGGAGTTGCTCATGATGGATACAGTTGTGTGTTTTGTTTTCATCCTGGATGTGTGTTCCTGGCTGTGTCCCTTCAGGGGCAGGCACCAGGCACAGCAGAGGGACCTTGGGGTCAGCTGGCAGTTCTGGTTACCTGTTTCCATCTCTGCTCTGGCCATCCCAGCACCACTCTGCTTCTGGGGAATGCACACTGGTTTGGGTGTGAGAGGAGATGCTTTGGCAGAACCTGTGCTCCCAGGCTTTGGAAGTAGAGCAGGGCATTGGTGTTAATCAGCCCCCATTGCCAGGACTTGGCCCCGATAGAACATTTTGTATTGCAACGTGAGGGGACTGGATCAGTTCACAATGTCCTGGCATGGAACTGAACTAGAATAAATTCAGTCATGGTTTAAATTCAAGCCCATACTGGAACTGCATAGAAACACTTGTTTGATTTCTTCATTGTAAATTTGCATAATTTCTTACATTTCAGTGTGTCTTTGCTCCCTAACCCCATACTTGATGAGCAAGATTAAAAACTGTAGTGATGATTAGGCTATAAATGGGTCATAAGGCAAATTAAATGTCAGAACCCAACATTCAGACAACTGTATTTCTTTAAAGGTATTTTCAAAACCTTTTTTGCATTTGTATTAACTGAGATAACTTTCATTTTATGCGGTAGCTTTTCTAATAATTTATGTGAATTTAATTTGAGGAATTAATTTGGAAAGCACTAGAAAGAATTTGGCAAGCACTCCATATCTTAATGTACATATTATCATCTGTACAGTGTACAAATACAGGAACCCCAGTGTTTGTTCAGCAATGTGTCTTGACAGGCCTAATTCAGGTGCTATTGTAAAAAGAAAAAAAAATACAATTTATTGTCTTCTTAAAACAAGTAGAACTTTGTTTTGATAACAAAATTCTTTAAACATGTATTTAGTTAGGAAATGTCTCAGGGTCAGGGAATACCTTTCTTAGATCACATTACTTGTTAGTGTTAGTACTGAAGTCAGTGTTGCCTGTGTACAACTGCTGTATTAATACTTATATCTCGTGTATATATTTATATATTTTATATGGAAAGAAGGATTATTCTTTGCATTGAATTCTCCTAGTTGATTACTGGTTAAAAAGTGTCACTTTGTTGTAATAAAAGTACACTAAAAATCCATCAAAATGTATGAATTGTTCATGTTGCTTAATTGCACAATGCAGTTGAATAGCCAGTGTAAATTGATGTTTCTCCAACAGAATGATGGGAGTTGTGCTCCTTGATCAATTGACCCTGTTTAGAAATTCTTTTCAGAAATACTTCATACAAGGTGCCTAACCACTTTTCTGGTGAACTCTGGCAATGAGCAAGGACAGCAAATTGTGAACCTGACAATGGTTGAGTAAAGCAGAATGTGATATAGAGATTAATTTTGATTAAGACTTCCTGCAGTGCTGTGTGGTGATTCACTTGGAAAGACAATAATATTTTTATCTGGAATAATTTCTTTTCCAGAACAGGCATCTGCTGAGGGTAGGAACAGCAGACAAGACACTGGAAAAACTGAGGAAGTGCAATGAATTTCTGGAAGTAATTCTCAAGGGACTTAATATATACTTAGAAAAAAAGCATCTGGTTTTCCCCCAGTTATTTTTTTATTGAATTAGGAACTTCTTGATTTTTTTCTCAAAGGCTAAAGACCTTAGTTTGTATGGAAGTATTTAATAGAGATCTTGTTAATTAATGTAACCTTTGCTATAAGGAGAGGAGCTGGGTTTGGGTCCCCATACACAGACTTGATAGTGTGCAGTGGCTGCCGTGCAGGCATACAAAAACAGAAATGAAAACCAAAATGTTAGTTCAGTCCCAGAGAAACATCCCTACAGTGCAAAGAACAGGACAAGGAATCTGTGAGGAAAAAAATCTTAAAGGTGTTGGTTTTGTTTTTTTTAATAATGGAAAACTGTTGTGTTAAGGTTGTGCCTGGTTACTCTACTCAATTTCCTTAATGTTTGCTATTGCTGGGAAGGTATAAATAATAACTTTTTATATACTGGAGGTGGATTCGCTGTTGAAGAGAGAATTCTTGTTTATCCTCATTAGTTTATATGTTACAGAGACTGTAAGTAAAGTTTTACATCTTTAAACTGATCTTCAGTAAAGACAGTGGGAAACATCTTGCAGGGGGTAGTACACAAGAATTATTGCTAAGGATAAACCCTTTTTTAACCTAACATTAAATGGTCTTTTAGGTAAATTGTTCAGATGTTTTAATTAACTATATATTCTTAGGTAGTATGGGAACGAATAAAGTGGAAACAGTAAAAGGACATGGGTATTTTCTGTGTTGCAGGAATTAAGCTGTGTGCTGTGTGTGCTGTTTTGGTTGCAGATATGTGGCCATTGATGTTTTACGTTTGGGTTTGTAAAAGAAAAAAATAAATGAAGGATACATTGTACTGGTATCATAGTGAACAGGAACCATTTAATACAGAGAAATAAAATTAATATAGTGAAAAATAAGAAATACAAGAAAACATAATCACACCTAAGACCAGACATTCAACTTCTTAACTTAAAATTTTTTGCAGGCACCAGAGGACTTTCTGGGACAGGATAATAGACAGACTGAGGACACTGCCACCTTGGCGTGAGGAAAGCTGTCTAAGCAGAATCGAGTGACTCTGGGAGCACTTGTTGAGCTTGATGTTCATGCTGAGGATGTTCTTGCATCTCTAGTAAGCAAAAAAGGCAAAGATGAGAGTGACTTTGAATGGTTAAGTCAGCTTAGGTGCTGCTGCGAGGTGAGTGATACCTCTCAATCCTATTAGAAGGTAATTTCTGTTCACAGTTTTTCAATTTCTGCTTGCTTGCTCACATAGGGAATGGTTACACTACAGTGAGAATTTCTGCTGATAAGAGAATACCTGGAACAATCATTTTATGGATTGCTAACTAGAATGGCCAGTAGCCAGACGTAAACAGTTTTTAATTAAAATGACTTGCTTCATCTCTGCTGAGTCTCAGTACATTTGCTGAATTTGCAGGGAATGTTACAGACTGAATTTGTTCACTCAAAAACTGTATTTTGGTTTTGTGATTCTGCAGGATAAAGAATGCTATAGGCATGACAATTTCAGTTAAAGATTTTAATTGACTTATAATGCACAAATGAAATAGTATTTGGCAGTACTTACTGGAAAAATATGAATGCTTTTACTGGATAGTGGGAGGATACAATATTTTACAAAAATCAGGACAAGATCGCTTGTAATACAAAAGATATTTTATGTGAAACATAAACTAATGCAATAAAAAAGTAGGGGTCATGCATTAACTGTAACTACAATTATGGTTGTGATTGCTTCTGTTTACCTTTTAAAAAGTCCATTAACTTCCTCAATAGCTAGACAAGACATTTTTACTCTGCAATACTGTTAGTAGGATCTAATTTTAGGTAATGTTTAGTTTAAAAACCAGTGGTTTGGTTTGATACTTTATTATCTATTGATTTGTAATTTTTTCTTTATCTGGGTTGCATTGAAAGGACACCCATGCACTGAGACAGCACTGAGTCAAAAAAAAGTTTGTTGTTTTTTTTTTTTTTTTCCTTTAAATGAGTAATTATCATGGAGTTTTATGATATGCAAGTATGTATTTTAAAAAATAGTTAAATTTCATTAAAGTGATTGGTCTACCAGTGTAATTTAACACCAAAAGAGAGGTGAAATTACTGGTGGGATACTTCTGCAAAAAGCCAATAATACAGATCAATTAGTGTAAGGTACCTGATAAGGTGTAGAGCCTGATTTTCAGCTGTGAATCTTTCTAAGAAAGCATGGAAGCAACATTCTCTTCAGATAGCAGCAAAGTTAACATCCTCTTAGAGTGTTGCACAAAATTGGGACATTCTTAAAATGTCCTTGGGAGGTTTCTGGTAGTCCCATCCAGCCCACAGGATATTTTTTGGTGTGCATGGCCTTTGATGCATTGAAGAAGTGTGCTTTTTTTTGCATGCTGTTTCTAATTTGGAGCATGTGGGGCTGACAATCGAGCAGTAAATATGCTCTGGGCACTGAGGTCATTGTGGCCCTGGAAAGCTGAGTCATGGCAGGCTTCTTACTTGGGATGCCTTTATCTGAGAAGGTATTTTGTTACTCAGCTGAAAGACTGCTAACTGCATGCTTGGGGGACTTCTCCAATTTGGAACAGCGACTAATATATAATATTTCTAACAGCCTACTGTTAGAAAATTATTTTAAAAGGTGGACTTTAAAGAGCTGCAACTTACAGCAATATGAGAGGGGATTCAATAATTGAGGCTAATATTTGTCAATTTCTGCTTCAACTGGTCCTAGGGACATTTTACCTTACTTGTTTTTGAAATGATGATGAACGTGTTTTCAGTACATGTTACATCCGATATACTCCTCATGAAAATATCAGTATAGAAGAGTGAAATCCTCAAAATGGGAAAACAGATCCTTGGTTGTGAAAAGCTGTTAATATTTTCTTTTGTTTTGTGTACATAGTTGGCTGGATGTGTGTGTTTAGTGTTACCTAATACATATAATTGTTTCTGGCACAAATCCATAATGGATTTGAAATTGTGATAAAATGGGACACAGATTGGAAGTATAAACCTTCTTTGCTTTCAATCACTGTTATTCCAGTAAAAAAGTGTAGAAACTGTATAAATTAGTATCAGCACAGAAACAAGTGATTATGTAAAATCGAATTGTTTTCAGATAAGCAGTTATAAAATGGAATATTGTATGAACTACATAGTTGCTGAGGTTTCTCTTAATCTTTTTATTAAAAAAAAAAAAAAGACCCTTGAGTGAAGGGTGTATCTTTCAGATGTTTAACTTACTTTTTGTCCGTATTTACAGTCAGACAAACATTGCACCCAAAAAGCTAAAGCTGAGTTGAGCTCAAGGAAAGTAAAAAATTTCTGTGGATGGTCTAAGAAAGAAACAAGCAAACCTGAGGGAAGTTCAAGATAAATTTGCAGTGCTCCAGCAGACACTGGAATCCAAGAAACAAGTGAAAGCTGACTTGGAAAATCAGGTGTGTGATGCAAAAGATGAACTATTGTTCTGCTGATACCCAGAGAAGTTATTTAAAATTTGTTTCTTTATCACATGGTGGTTCCCTTTTAACTGTCATTATATGGAGCAAGCTGTGCTTTCAGATAACAATCTTTCTAATTTTGTGGAATGGGTTTAAAGTTAGAAGTGTATAAATAATTGGAAATAAATGCTTTAAAGTAATAGAAAATGTAGATGTTATTAATTTACAAGGTGATATACCTTTCATACATCCTCACTCATATCTGCTTTCTTGTGAGGAAATAAACTTTCAATGATTTTACCAAGAGTTCAGATTCATGTCTTAACTTGAAAGTTAGTACATTTAAAGTTTTAAAGTTTATTTCTGCCTTCTGTGCTAATGGAGTTTTGAGACTGTTTTGGGTAAATCCTGTTGCTGATTATATGGGCAAAAAATAGGCAACATTTGGAAGATGATTTTTTGAGTTTTGGTATATCATCTTGAGCTTCTTTTGGAAAAATAGAAAAGGAATTTGAAACAGACTCTTAAGTTCTTGTCTGTAGTTAGAGTCAGTTCTTTGTGTATTTCTTGTGCACTCTGGTATGGTTTGGAAGAGGAGGGGAGGGCTAAACTACACAAGCAGTTTTTTCTTGTGGTGTAACCCAGCTGCTATGGTTACCAGGAGAGAGAGGATGGTAACTGCAGCAAGAGTTGCATCACCTTCCTCCTATCCCATGTCTGAAATGTGGCTGTACTAGATAGTGAAGCATTCTCAAAGAGATGGGCTGAATTCCTGTTAAAGCCTATTTTTTGATAGAATATAAACATGCTTGGAAAGATGGCTTAGTTAGAGACTGACAACATAAATGTTGATTATGGATTTGTAAGGAGCTTTTTTTGCAGAAAAGAACATACCTGCTTTTATGAAGCAGTGATCTCTTAAGGGTGTTTTGTTTCTCTGGTAGATAACTTCCTGTATCTCACACAGAGCATTTTCAATTTGCATGTTTTATACTGGTCTTTTTCCTTTATTTGGATAAAAATGTAACTGAACAGACTTTGGTGTGCTGGTCCTAATAGTAGTTTTTGTTCTTTAAAAATTTCCATTAGAATAAGGTGCTTTCTTTCTATCTGTTGAAGTTACTTAAGAAAAAAATCTGTATAGGAAAATAATCTGTGAATGTTTTAAATGTTTGTAAAATATCTCTAAAATGATCTTGTAATATAATCAGCAATTTTTTTCCTATTGTGATGTTGACTTATGCAGCAAAGAACTGCAGTGAGCAGAACAATTTAATGGTGGCCTTGAGAGTGAGAAAACTTGCTGGCATGAAACTGCTTTGGAGCTGGGAATGCAGGACATCAACTTGACTGGAATACTCCTGTTCCATCAGGAATTGTAGCTTAGCTAGCAGCCTTTACATCCAGTTACAGACAAGTGATATGTACAGTGATTTTTGTTCTTCTGTTCTTTTAATAATCTAAGTTTCATTAATTTTTCTTCTAATAGAAATATATTTTAAATTATGTTTTAGTAAAATTAATAAGTGGAACTAAAACTGTGTTGTTGTAGGCTTTTGAGTTTATTCTACTCCTGTGGAATATTCGTTTTTCTTCTACTGCAGGGTACTTTGTAAAACATGGATTCCTTTGGTTAATTTTCTTCTTTAAAGCAACAGCAGTTCCAGAAGAACAGATGGTCAATCACAACAGATATTGTGCTATTGTTCCATCCCTGGAAGTGTCCAATGCCAGGTTGGATGGGGCCCTGAGCAATGTGGGGGCCATGGCAGGGGGCTGGAACTGTGTGATCTTTAAGGTCCTTTCCAGTCCAGGCCATTCTATGATTCTGTGATTTGTGCCTATAACTCTTAGTGAAATAAACAGAAATTCAGAATACAGAAAAATGTTAACATGGCAGATAATTTTTATCTGTAAGAACTTTTGGGTGTCAAGACTGCCCTGACTTTGAATGTTTTTGAACACCAAAACCTGCCACTGAATTCAGCTGAAGAACTTAATGTCTACTTATTTTGAAAATCAGGTCCAGGTTAATGAAAATTGCTAAAAATTAAAGACAAGCAAATCAGTCTGTCATTTGAAGATAGAATTTGGATATTATCCCTATTTCCCCTTTTCCTTCAATGCACTTACTTTGGCACTAGAAATACTGCAGATATAGGGCATTGATTGTACTTCTGGAAGCAAAACTACTTGTTGAAATGAGAAGGATGTATGCTGGCATTCAGATTGTATATGTAATTTTTTTTCAAGTAATTACTGTATTAATAATTCAATCACTCAGGCTAAACAGTCGACAAATGTTAATGAATTCAACACTTGCACTGTTCATCCTCCATTTCACTTTTACACCGCTTTGATCAAAATTCTTTTTGAACTAATGGAAAGATGATTAGCATTTTAAAACTAAATAATTATAGCTTTTAATTTTGAAAGATGAGATAGAATCTACCTCAAATTGATGGTGCATATTATGTCTGTAGTTATGAGTTTATGGCTGGATATTAGGACTACAGGAACAATGTAAAATGCAACTCAACTTTTTGTAACAACAAATTTTTTCAAAAGCAGAATTAGCAAGCAATCAAGGATAATTTGCAAACATATCCAGTGACTGCTTATGGATTCCCATCAACGAGGAAGGATTTTATAAATGATGAAAGCTGTGTGTGTTGGACTGATATTAGAGAACTATTCTTTAATTATCCAAGTAGTAAGTGGGATATGCTGAAAATAATGTGACTGAAACATTGAAGTAGGGAAAGAAATAAGGCAGGTTTTAGCTGAGTTTTACCCAAATGCTAAATTCCTGTTTCTAGACTGTGCTTAACATGCAGGTTTCCTGTGTTCAGCTTACAGTCTGCAATTGCTGGTAGCAGCTTATGTTGAAAATGTAACCTGGCTCCATCTCCCTTGGGTCTCTCTTTGGGCAAGGAGAGGTGACTGAGCCACGTAGGAATCTGGCAGCTCAGCAGTTCTTCCAGTACATTTTTGACCCACTGCTGAACACTGCTGTGTGCTGTAGATTCTCTTTCTATCCCTGCTGATGCTACTGCCTCACTTGACAGATGTTCAGGTTTCCAATCCCTATTACTTCTCCAGGCTTATGGTGTTACTCAAAATCCTTGTAACTTTGCAAAGTTTACACTTTAACTTTGTTAAAGTCATGCTATGCTGGTGGGTTACAAATGTATTTCCTGAACCTCTCAATGCATTTTACCAGTGAAAGCTTTCTTCTCTTGTGGGTAGGCTGGACAGTGTCCCTTTCAGGTGTTTTCCTGAACCTTTCTAAAAGGAGGAAGGAAAGGCATCCTCCTTCAGCTGGTGATGGGTCACTCCCAAGGACAGTCTCTGATCCATAACAGAGAATGTTACTGCCATTCATGGTACATTTCTCCACCAAAACTTCCTCTCCTAAATTTAGGCTTTCTTCCACAAGAAGAAAGTGTAAAATTATTAGTGGAAAATTCCCACTAATTATTCCTACTAAATTTCCCACTAATTATTATTAGTGGAAAATTCCCTTTGTTTTTACTTGAAAATACTCACTTATGCATGGAACTGTATTAAAACTATTCAAAATTTCAGAGGGATATTATTTTGAATTAAATATAAAACTAAATGTGATTAAACTTTCTAGTAAGAACTCTTATTCTAAATTGATTCTCTCAAGGAGGAAAATTGGTTTTTTGTAAACAAAGAACCTTAGGATTCATCTATCTCCTCTTAAATTCATCAAGAATTGCACTGAGTATGTGCTTGTTATGATTTCATACTGATGTGCTTTTAAGGGAATACATTGCCTTATGAAGCACTTTGAGGTAAACATTTGAAGAGCTTATATTTAAGTTTTGAAAGTTTGTATTTTTCCCTTTAGTAATGCAAGAAGATGGCCTCTGATGATGGCTCCTTAGGGAGCTATCAAACAAACAAATGAATAAGGAACATGGAAAAAGCCAATGGCTTGCATATAATCAGACTCAGAGACCCGCAGTTTATTACAACAATGGAAAAGTGCATTCAGTTTGGCAATTCTGGAAGGATGACTAATGAAAGTGTAAATTACAGAAAGACCTGGAGGGGGCACAATTCGCTAAAAAATGAGAGTTGTGACTATCCAGAGTTCTCAAGGGAACTAGATATGTTTTTTACCCCCTTGTTTTGAATCAAGTGAGTACTATTGAAGCCCTCACTCCAAGTTATACTTAAAACTAAACTAAGCTACTTCTTAGCACAATATAATAATCCGTTAAATTTTTATATTTAATTGTTTTATGAAACTTGCCATTTCTTTTTTTTTAATATTAGAATAATAATATTTCTACACATTATCATGCTGGAAAATCAGTTAAGGTGAGAATTTTGAAAATAAATGTGCAACTCTGTTTTAATTGTAAAGTGATTCCTTGGCTAAAACCTGGGAAGAATTCCTGGGATTTGTTTATTCCTACTCCCCTGCCTTTTTTTTTACTCTGCTGGGTGACTGGTACCACAAGTGTTGGCATTATCATGTGTAATACTTCACCTTGCTATTCTGACATTCTGACATTCTTTCATCCAGTTGGGGATTTATTTAATTAATTACTTTCATCACCTTTCCCAGTCTGAATCTCCTGATGCTAGTTGCTTACCTTTTTTTAAAAAAATATTTACAAGACTTACTACAGTAGTCATCTCACACGCAAAAGCTACATTGGGCTTTTTTACCTGTTAGGGACATGGAAAGGCCTAGGCAGTCTAAGTTTAGCAGAACTGTTATAGATATTGCTAGTAATCATTTTAGGCAGAGCTTAATATTTTGGGATCATATTTGAATGTACCTTTGAGATAACCTTTACCACCAAGTCAGTCTGTGTTCTATAAATCTAACTCTTTGACTTTAAATCTTACTATTTTATATCTCAAACAATCCCCTGTATCCCTGTGTGCCTAAATTGGAGCATGGAATAAATAAAATTACCTCACTTTGATTCCAAACCTTTCCGTCAGCAGAAATATGAAGATACAGAACCTGAATCCCAGCTGCCATTGTGCATTACACCAGTCATCCCCAGGGAATGTTTGGTGTAAGCCCCTTGTGATGATTTTATCCAGTGAAGGCAAGAAGCTCTCAGCATAGTCCAGCAGCAGCTGAAGAAAGCCACAAGACCAGCAAAGGCAGAGGTAGGCAGCCCCACAGAAAATTCTCTGTGAATTAATAATTCACATAGCCCTGTTTGGCTTGGACTGCCTTCACTAGTCACACTATTTTCTCATGCAAACCATGTTACTTTTGTGACTTGAAAAAAGTTTACATCTTGTCCCACAGTCATCTTTATGTCAGTATTTTGTGCATAAATTGTAGGTACATCTTATTTTACTGATGAGGAACCATAACTTTGAAAGGACTTAATGCTAATAATAACTCAGTAATTATAACAGTGATAATATTAAAAACTATCTATTTCTTGTTAACTGAATGAAAGAAAACAGAAATAGATTGAAACACAAGACTGAAAAGGAAGAACAGATCAAACAACATATCTTGCTCTCATTCTTGATCTTCTGTCAAAAGATTTCCACTTTTTAATGATAATAGGTCACAGTTAGGTCTCAGAATGATCACCATGCCTGAAATACAGAAATGATCCTCTGAGTAGCTCTCTGCCAAGGGCTTGGTAACCTAGGTAATTGGGAAAAAGCTATAGAGATTTTTCCACATCTTTGTTTCTACTTGAAAAAAGAATTTGAATTATTTTCTGCAAATTCTTACACTGCATTTCAAACCACCTGAATGGACTTCACCTAATTTTGGCTGAGGTGTTCAAGGTATTCAGACAAACAGAAAATTATCCTTCTATCTTACTCTCCATATCTGACCATAACCACTTTCATGTCCAGGTAACACTTTTGCCAGTTCTCTTTTTGTACTGTTAATTTAAATTATGAAAATCTATCACCAATATTCAGTCAAATGACACAGGACTTCTTAGACCCTTTAAAGAAAAAGATCGATTGTGTATTTTTTTCATTGTAAAGGTCAAGGATTTAGAAATACTTTTTAATTAAAGAAATAGCCTGAAGTATGCAGAGTGAGAAAGAACGGACTTTTGGTTGGAAATGCTCATAAAAGAATACAATGAAAGACATTAAAGGAACTAAACAGTTCTAGCTCCTTCACTTGACCAGATTGCGGGAAATGGGCAACTAATGAATATTAGGCTTTTTTTGGGCATTTACAAAAAAAAGATATAGCAAGTAGAGGACTTGAGTGCTTTGGGAAATAGTCACCTAGAAAATAAACAGAGAAATGATGACACTGGGAAAAGAGACTGATGGGGGAACTACTTCATTATGCATACTGGGGTTATAGCTGCCCCCACTCTGGAAGCTGCAATAACAACATGACAGCTGGGTTCGGCATAGGCCATTTACAAACCAAGCTCTCTGGTGCTTTGCTTGACATTCATTTTCTCATTCTTGTTTTTCTGCCATCATTTTCTGCATTCAGCTGCAGCCTAACTTAGTAATAGTGTAGTGTGACTATCACTGATGATGTCTTATCATTGTAACCTTAAAGACTGGCACAAGAGTAGAGCTCTAACAAAGAGGGAGCTAAAATGGATGCTCACTTTCCCCCTTGCATAATTTCTTCCTTTTCTAGAGAAGAACTTAAAAATTACTCCAAATCTTTCAAAGATAGTAATCCTGTGCTGTACAAGAAGCTTCTTAGAGTAACATGTATTTAAATGTTTTTTTTTTTTTAAAAGCTTCTTTAAACATGTTAGCCTCATTTCTATAACTTAAGAAAAAATACTTCATGGATTGATGTATCAAGGTAAGGGATAATTCAGTCTCAAGGTAGGGAATTCATAAATGCTTTGAAAATGTTGAAATACATGTTTCTAGGCTCCCCAGCATAAGAATTTTCTTGCAGAGTGGAAAGACAAGTCAGGGGAGTTTCAAAATCTGCTGTTCATTCACTGCCTGAGAGTTGACAAAGTAGTGTACAAAACTTTCACCTTACTGAGAAAGGCTACTTGCATCTTAAAAAATCAAACATAGTTGCATGCATTTTTATTCTATAACAATCTCTCTTAAAGAAAAATAGGAATTTGAATTAACAACATTTTAAAAGAACTCTAGCAAGTTTGAAATTGTAATGAAAATCTTCTAAAAACAGAATAGTAGGACTTTAGCTTTTGTTGTTTCAGTGGCACACCAAATCCCCAGAGCTCTTCCTTGAGACTGTCTTACACACCTTGTGTCTACCCTTATTTAGTACACCTGCTATTTTTGCTGATGTCATTGTCTGGGTCAATTTTGCCTGATCTGGAAAGACAGCTTAGTGGTAAGCAGGAGTGTAGATAATGCAGGTGCCTAAGCAATTGTTGCAGACACACAGATCCATTTAGTTCCCTGGAAAGTGTTTTGAAGCAGAACTGTTCCGATTTGAGTCTAGGTATAAAGTTTTAACACAGATCACAGAAGTACTCACAGTTGTGAATCTTTATTCAAAAAAAAGTCAGCTTGCTAAAAATCAGAATAGAAGTATTTGCTTAGACATTTTTCATACACTAGCAGGGTAGTGGAACTGCTCTACAGCAATACCAAGAAAGCACACTGTGAGAGCTCTGATCCAGTAGTTCTCCACATACAATTCCTCACGCACCTGTTCAGCTTTGGATTGGCACTCAGACAGAGAGGACTGTTTGCAGCAAAGGAAGAGACTTGCAGAGTCAGACGTCACAGCTCACTTGCCCCGGGCTCCTCCTGCCCGGTGGCTGTGCCTCCTGGCTGCTGGGCTGAAGGCTCATCCCCGGGAGGCAGCGCTGCCGGCAGCGAGGGTCTGGAGCCAAAGTAATTCACCAGCCTCTGCCTCGTCGCCGCGACTTCTTCTTGGAAAGAATTTATTGTGCGGCTGCCAACTTTGCACTTGAATCAAAGCAAGAGATTGAGCCTTTCAGCTGAGCTGAAGCTGCAGTTCAGCCAAATTCCAAGCCCCCCTCCTCAGGCTGCATTCAGGTATCAGTGCTTCATGATAGCAATCGTACCCTGGTCAGCCTAGTGCACAGCCCTCCCAGCTATTGGTGACTAGCCTTGGGGCTAAGTGTCCCCACCTGAAGCTGCTGCTTCAAATTTTTTATACACTCCTTAGAAATACAGTCATATTATGGCCAAGACCTCTTTTGTACCTTGAAACATTGCTCTAAATCATTCACAATTCAAGTTAGGTAACACCAATTTCTCACTCTTAGTCCATCTTCTAAGATATCACTGTGCCACATGATCCTATTTTTTGTACTTTAATCTGTTGCACAGTGACCTTAAATTCTTAACCTTAACATCCACCAGGTATATATTTAATACAGAACATTAGCAGGGCAGAGATCTTATTTGTGCAAACCCACCAACAAGTAATATGCAGAACCTTTTACTGTTCCTAGTCAGTGAAATTGGTTCACTTGATTCTTACTATTCATAGGATTAGGGTGCATATAGCAGCTGATTTTGATCAACTGAGTAGCTCAGCTGTGTGCTTCTGTTACATATCAACACTATGGCATGAAACCCCAGAAGTGGGGAGAAGTACAATATTTGAAATGAGCTTTGAAATTTAATTAGGCAGATTTCTATGTTAAACTGGACATGTGAAGCAATAATCTGGTCAAATTTTGTCCCTTCACTTGTGTTGTTCATCCCTCCTGAGAATGGTAGAGCTGCTCATTGTTGAGTTTTGTGCATTGGTTATTGCACCCCACCCTATATATTTTTTTTTTTTTTCTGCTGTAATGAGTTGTTGGAAAAACACTTCTAAAGGAAACTTCAAAAGCCAGACAACAAATTACACTGAGAAATGCTTAGGTGCAGATTTCTTAGCCAATAACACACATGAATTATTACTTCAGAATAAGTAATGTTCTAGCCTCCGACAATCATTCCTGGCTGATGCTTGGAAATCTTAGTGAGAGAAGTTGTTGCTTATATTCTAGCTTTGAATTTCAGATGACCTGGTTATCACTTACAATGAAGGTCCTCAGCCGTGTCATCTCCAGCATGTAGTACTCCTCCATTGTCAGCTCATCAAAGTGCTTGGGAAGGGATAAAAAGTCACAGGTGTGACGTTTGGTGTGTTCCTCCCTGCAATGTAAACCAGAATAAGAGCAATGTTAAACCCATAGAAGTTTCATTGCAGAAGAGGAAGAGATCTGTAAAGGCAGGTCTCTTCAGTACTTGTGCAGACATAGTATCATACAGAAAAGATAAAATAGATTTTAGTTGAACAATTTCACAGTTACTGGGAAAGATAAGCTTCCAGTTTTGTGAACCGTCATAGTGGAAAATGACAAGGATATTAACTCATTGTAAAATTACTAAAAAAGTTTGGAGAGATATTTCTCAAAAGCATTGTTACATCTGTGCTTACCATGGGTCATCATTTGGTTCCCAGCCCACCAGTTCTAACAAGCAAAAGAAACATTTTGCCACATCGGGTTCATTTGCACTTGAACAATGGATGAAGCCAGCCTTTGCCATCTGCAGGGGACAGTTCAGAAGTTTAGAGCATTGTCCCACACACACTGCTCATATTTACACATATTTCCTGACACTTTAGAATCATACCTAATCAGGACACCAACAATTTAGGTTTGCTTCAGTAACCAGAGACCTCAGGTAACACTAGCATTATGACTCATCTGAGATTCAGGCTGGCAGTGTCATATATAAGCCAAAGTAGAAGTTAGATAGAATTTTTTATTTAAATAATATCCATTCTGAATTTGAAGTAGTGATCGTTCCACTATTTTATCCTTCCTGATGGATCCATACTTGTTTAATGTAGGCTGCTTTGTCATGAATAGAAATCTGCAATTAGAAAGACTATGTGATGCCAGAAATTAATTTTTAAATGACAGTAAGAAAACAAAACAAAAAAAAAAAAGGAACAAGAACAGTAACTATTAAAATCTGTAGGCAGACTGTGGACTGAACACAGAAAAACCAGTCAATCCCAGTACAGTATTTCTGAGCACGGAACAGAGGAAAGCTGAGTATCTAACATTTCATCTTCAGGCTTAGTGGACTCCTCTTGAACCTGAATATACTTTACTATGACTTCACTTTCAGACATAGCACATAAAAGCAGAAGCAAAACAACCATTTTCAGACTTACATTCTCTGGAGTGCACTTGCAGTTTTCCTGGAAGGGCCACTTGGTGAAGGTTTTTAAACGGCTCTCATATTCATACATCTCCCTAAAGTCAGTTAAGAGCTTGGAAGCTGAGCTAAGCTCTTGCAGCAGGGTCTCCATCTATGAAAGCTGCAGTCAGTGTGAGGCAGGGCCTCCCTCCTGCTCTCACATTTAAGGCCTTTGCTGATTGGTGACACTTTGCACCTGGAGAGCAGGGGAGGGCCTAAGGGAGCCCTGGTCCCTTCCTAACACAGGTGAGTTTATGGGCAGGACAATCTAGGGAGCTGCTGGAATTTCTTCTTCTTGTGTCACAGGCTGTGTCCTTGGTCACACTATATATATTTTAACTGAAAGCACGTATGGTAATTGCAGATTTTACAACTGAAATGTCAAAAACTGCAAGTTAAAAGCTAGTTACAAATACAGAAACTTTACATATAAAGTTTTAAAAATATTATCCTGATTGCAACCGAAAGGGTTGAATTGACATTGCTATTTGAATCCTTCAGTGTTTCTTGAATTTCATATTCAGAGATTAATTCTTAGGATTGTCTTTGCAAATACTGTTGCATTTCTTTAAAGAGGAGGTGGTTATTTTATAATGTTGTAAGTATTCAGTTCTATTTTAAAATATAGAGCATGGCCAGATGCTGGATGATAATATTTTAAAGGTGTATATCTGTAAGGGTTTACAGTATCAAAGTGTTAAGGTGTCATTTTATCAACTGTCTCTTATTTTGGTACAGAGTCCAGTTAAATTCGTAGAAGTTTAAACATGAGTGTCTTTAAAACTGCTGCATGCAGCAGCTTTCTAAGCCAAGATCTTAACATCTCTGAAGGATGTTGCATTGTGAGACTTGAAAATTTAAATCTTCTCCAAAATACAAGTGGAGTAAGTGCAGAAAATAATCAGCCCATAATTCTGTCCAGATGTGGTGACAAAAATGAGATAAAAGAACATTTGCGTAGGACTTCCAATGTCAGCTCTTAGGGCATTGTTTTTCCTAGATTTACAAATGCTACATCATTGATTCCTCTGGGACTGTACAGATGTCTATTTTATGTGCAGGAATACTGTCCTTGAAATTTATATTCAGATATTTAGAGTAACATGTGTTACATGAAAATAGGACACTTTAATTATTTTTTTTCCTTTTTCCAGATAATACCAATGGTGGAAGAATTTATCATTCATAACCTGGGCCCTCCAAGCACTGATACTAGTAGTTTCTCCTGGTGCTGACTCCATGTCAGCCCTTCTTCAGATCAGGTATTTTAATCTCTTTTAGTGTAGTTGATGTTTCTGTGTGCGCATGTGAGTGTATTTGTATGAAGCAAGGAATTTCGTTTAACTAAAAGCTGCAATGCCAAACCAAACCCAAAACCTGTTTTTAACTGCCCAAAAAACATGGTAAAATTGATCTCATGCTTCTCTTTAACACAAGGCACTAACTCATGCATATGAATTGTTTTCAGGAATGAATATTTCTGTTGTTTAAAAGAAACTGTAGGATAAATAGTTTATCATCTTGTGATGTCATGACCTATTTTGTGTCATTTCAAATGGAAAATGCAAAAATGGAACAAAACCATAATAGTTTAAATGTTTCTTGTAAGCAGTCTTATCTGAAAATGCTATTTTTTTTCAAACATGTGCAAGGTATTATTTAATCAAAACCACCATAGTAATATAGGACCCTGGAGTCCTGGGTGGAATTTATACATCAGAATTGAAATATGGATTTTGTTGGGTTTTTTTTTTTGCTTTGACTGTTGTTGTGGCATTTAAAACAAACAAACAAAAAATTCCCAACAGCCCAAATCAGTTCTTATGTAGAAAAGTACTGCTAGAATACTAGAAAGTAAGATTATACATGTAATAACACATTTTAAGATGTATTTCTTGCATTTCCTGCCTATAATTCTGTCAGAATTCTGTGCTTTGAGAATGACAGGTACACTTCAAGTCTTCAGCCACCAAGCTGTAAAGGTATTCTGCATTTTATAGTAGGCTGTGTCTACATTGTTCAAGAGAACACTGTTTGCAGAAATGTTCTGAAACTGTCAGAATTGCATAGGTCCAGATTAAATGTATGGGTAGTTGGAGCTTTTCACTGGGAGATACACAAGATGTGGCATGACATGAAAGAAAATATTTAAATTGCATTTTAAACTATAGAGTACATTAAATACCCAATACCCACTATCTGATCCTGACTTTTACAATAAGTGCAGAAAACCTGTGAGTAATGTTGCAACTTTGTAAATCGGTTAAAGCCAACCCTAATGAACGGGTATCTGTGATCTGTGGGGAGAAGGCCTCAAAAATTAAATAATTGTGTTCCACTGCAAGGAAAACAGTTTCAATTACTGCCAGTAGTGGAATAAATTTATTTTTTATTTTATTGCTTGTCTCATACTTCATCACTTGAAACTTACTGCTATAGCATTAATAATACAGCTCTCTAGGTGTTTTTTTTTAAAAAAGGTAAGATTGGGAAAACCTATCCACTGTTTTAATAATTTGATGTGTCTTTGCAATCACATTTTACATTATTTTGCATTATTTTTCTCTAATTAATGTAGCTTATCTAAATGAGATTGAATATTTACCTAAATGGTCCGACTTGAAAACCAAATCAAACATTTCTACCTGATGTCTTTATGTAAAGGCCAGAAATCTAACTTGGTAAGGAGAAAAAAAAAAGCTAAAATATTGTATGAACAATATAATACAGTGTATATACAATATAATACAGGTGTTTAAAAATTTACAGGTTCATGGTCTCATACATACAGTTGTACGTAATGTATATAATAAAATAGCCTTAAAAACTAAAATTGCTTAGAGGTTTTAAGAGACTCTGGAATGATGCTCGTGACCATTCAAAGACCTCCTGCTGAAGGGGCTTCCCCTGCCTCACAAAGTGTGTGAGCAGGAAGAAGCTGGGCTCAGAGTGGCTCAGCTCTGCTGTGCAGGACAGGAGATAAAAAGTTAACTATTCCTGCAAGGTGTAAAACATCCTACGGGCACCCCTGATGGCTGGCTGTGATTTATTCAGTTCCAGGGACAAGACCAGCCCCTGGACTGCTGCGGAGTGAAAGCAGCAGGGATCCAGCTGAGGAGCTCTGACAGAGGCCGTTTCCTTCCCTGCCTGCAGAGGTGGGTTCTGCCCATGGAAGCCTTTCGGGAATTTGCCAGCGATACAGGGCATTTCTTCATGTTCAAACTTCCTAAGCAGCCCAGCATGGCCAAAGTCTGTCAAAGTTATGGATGGGCAGGAACAGGGGTGTTCCTTTCACTGTCAGCCTACAGTGATTTCGGTTATTAATGTGGTTAACAGGCAAATTCAAGCAATAATGTGATTAACAGGCAAGTGATCAAGCAACTTCACCAAGGTGTTTCTTTCCTGAAGGACAGTGGGGAGTAAAGGGCAAGGTTGTGAAGGGGGGTATCCTCCTATCACATGACCAAAGGTTCTGAACAAATTACAAATACAGATTGTATATATATATATATATATATGCAAACTATATATATAACAAATATGTATTTGTAATTCTGAACAAATTACAAATATAGTTCCTAGCAGGGAGGGAACCTTTTTTTGCCCTGAAGGATAATGTATGTAGTAAACATGTAGTGGTACTTTTTTTGACTGGTTTTCTTCATCCCAGTTCTCAGTTCTCTTGCCTTTCTGCAAATAATTTTCTTTTATCACTCATAATTTTTCCTTTTTATGCACCTAAGAGGAGTCCAGCTTCTCCCAACCTCAAGAATTTAAGCATACTTGATTTTCGAAATAAATAAATAAATTTTAAAAACTATGAGCACTGCTATGGCCTTGTGATAGCATACATTTATTTTAGAAAGATGTCAAACAAGTAGCAATAATTTTGGAAAAGTTTTCCATAAACTTGTATCTAGGGAGTTTCAGCTGCATTACTATGGAATTTTTTGGTGCTATTATTATTCAAAAGCAGGAATGGCTGGGTGACTTGAGGGATTATTATTAAAAAGTATTTGAAGGGCTGGAGATGAAATGGTTCAAGCATGAACTAGCAGAAGTAATTAACAGCTTTTAAACTTTGCAGTGAGAATTCTGGCTGTCTTCCAAGTGAATTACAGTGATACTGATAGGGCTGCCCAGGGAAGTGCTGGGCTGCTGCTCAGATCACTGTCCTGTTTTCCTGCAGGAGCTGCCAGCTGATGCTCCTCACTGTCAGCTGGGGAATGCAATTACAGTGCCAGGGGCACTGACACTGGGATTGGCTCTGTAAGTGTTCTGAGGATGTTCTTTTCCTCTAAAATCATTACAAATGTCAATTATGTACTGGATCCAAGTGGTGTTTATTTTGCCTCTCCTGAAGGAGATGTATGTCAGAACAATAGAATTACCAACACCTTTTTTTTTTTTTAATAGATGTAATCTTTACTGAAACTGATGCATTTCAGTGTTTACTCAGTCACTGTTTGCTTGCTGGCTTAATCTCACCTTCTATCAGAACTTGTTTCAGTGACTTCTAAGAAAGGGACATTATGTAAACACCACCCAATTACTGTCATCTAAATTGACTCTGTGTGAGTCAGCACTCAGGGGACAGTAAGTGAGAAACACAGCTCAGTGAAGTTAAAAGCATTTTAAAATAGGCATAAGAGAAATAGCTCATTATAACTACTGGAGGCAGAAAGGCCACAATAATCAGCTTAATTAGCACAGGAGTTGTGTCAGTCATCAGCAAAACACCTTCAGGCACTTGGCAGGCAGTGGGCTCAGAGAGGGGCTGCAGCCCCTTACACTTGGAATCTCATTTTAATAGAATTTTCGTCAGCTCCCAGAATTTTTCAGGAATTGTATCTTTGTATCTCTTATATCTTGGTTAACACACTTCATTCATCACTCTAGGAAAGCCTGTGATGGTTTTGAAGTACAGCTTGTGGCCTCTTGTGGGCTGGTTGGCTGCTTCTGCATCTTTTTTTTTTTTTGGTCTAGAGGTATTTTTCCCCACCTTGTCTCAGTACTGCAGCTGTACTGAATATACAAAGACACTTGCACAGAATCCTTTCCCACAGATCTTTGACTGCAAATGCTGCTATTACCAAGGATCAGTCAGGAACACAACTGCTATTTGATGACATTCTTACACAGGTATGATACAAAGCCACACATCCTTACCTTAATTTCCTACTGTGTATCCATGCTGGTATGTTCACATTCCCTCCTGAGTTTTCACTGTACTTTATTGTGTTGTATCTCCATTCTGGTGAAATTACTTTTCCACTTAAAACATTCTTAAGACTTTTTTTTGGGGAGGTTGTATTGAGCAGTCCAATGACTACAGGATCAGCCAGATGATCACAGTAATTTTCTATGGAATCCCCCAATCCACTGTTCTTGTTTTTAGTATTGCTCCTACCTGACTGACCTAGACATAAATGTTGGACAGAGCATTTATGTTGGTTTTTAATTGTTTAAGCAACCCTGTTAAGCAAAGTACTTTGACACCCTCCTTTTCAGAATTTCTTCTAGGGGCTTGTAGTGATGTCTGCTGAACTGAAAGGAATACTAAAACACAAAAGTAATCACACCATAAGAAGCTCAAGAGAAATATCTGCTCCTTGAATATTTTTTTTTTTATTTTCTGAAGGCTCCTTATGTATAAGGAACACACATAAAATGAACACAACACTGTTGACAATGAACAAAACAGCATTTGATAATTTCCAGCTTTATAAAATTTTTTAAAAATGGTTTAGTTATAACAAAAAAAAAACCCCAATAGCTCAGCAAGTTATCTTATTGGACCATTATCACATTTTAAACCATAGACTCAGTTAATGGGGAGAGGAAAGAAAAAATATTAAAAAAATAATCACACTGCATCTAGCAACTACAACATTTTCTAAGCATAATCACAGCGGATTGAGTGCAATGTGATTTACATCAGAATTCACATGGGATGTCACACAGTGACAGCATTGTAAAATATACAAGTAACATTTATGCCCTCCAACAAATACAAGTTAAATGAGACTCTGGATTCAAGCCAAATGGAATGTTGAAGCCAAGTAGAAATGTAGTGGAATTCAGATTGTCTGTAACATGACTCAGAAGTGTACATTAGAATCATCTGGAATTCAATACTGGTGGAAACGTAGAGAGGTCACAGCTTTTACACTGCTCTGTTACATTTGCAATAAATACTAGAAAATAAAAGTAAATCTATGTTCTATGAAAAATACAGTACCTACCTTCAACGACCACGTTTTTCCCTTGTCTGAAGATGGTCTTGGAAGGAAGTTAACTATTTTCCTACAGAGGCAGTGTACTGAGCTATAACCACATTCCAACTAATACAACAGTAAGTATACTACTGGAAATACAGAAATCTTCATTTGAAAAGAATTAGGAGAAATAAATCTTTTAAAAAATCATTTGATAAAACATCAGCTGCATAATGACCCCTTTATATTTCAGAAGTAACAGAAAAAAAAAAAACAACCAAACTTAAGTCAGTCAGTTTAATACAAAAGAAATAGAGATTGTTTAAACTCAGATCTTCAGAAGGTATCCAGAAGTTTTGTCTCATTGACCTAACATGGGCACTATGCAAAAATGTCATCCAGGAGTTTTACACTGCAGAAATTCAGCAATCTGAAGCTAACAACAGCGTGTTTGCTAATTAGGGTTCTACACTAATCATGTTTAAAGAGGAAAAAAGAAAACCTGAGTTCAGAACATCAAATGGCTGCATGCCTGAACTCTGGGCTTTTGGCTTCTTCACTGAAGAAACTGCACCCTTCTTTGAAATGGACCCTTAATACTGTTTCCTGATACTGCATTAGAAAAAATACTGGCAACCAACTGATACCTTTAAAACACATGAGCTGCTCTCAGTAAAAGCTAAACTGACCAATGAAGCTTCCAAAGTAAAGGGCCACAGGAAACACGGGAACTTGAAATGGAATGCAGATACCCACTGGCTCTCATTAAAGGCGTTAGGATTAGTGTTTTTAGCAGCTACACTGGCACCAAGCAGACTGGAACTTTAAAACTTTACAGCACACAGTCAAAGTACAGCTTTTACCTGGCATACACAGTAGAGGGACAAACTGGATGTTTTAAAAAAAAAGCTACTACCATGCTTAGGACTGGTACTACAGAATCAACTTGCACTCCCCACAAACTCACAATTAATTTTTTTTTTTTTTAAGGGGATGGGTACAAGAAGAACTAATTCATGTCTGGCAATAAATGCCTGTCAGCACAATCTGATCTAGGACAGCTGGTCCCAGCAAGTTAAGGCCCAAATTTTCAGTCTATTCTTCTAAATGACACATACCATGGTTCTACCACATCTGCTTTTTAATAATCTAATTTAAATACCAAAATTGTAAAAAAATATCATAGAAATTAACTCCTTTATACTGGAAGTAGAAATCTTCTTACATATTCTTTACTGCCAGAAATGGCTGGTGTCACAATGTCTGATATCAAGGCATTGTAGGAACAGATCTGATGCGCTGTTACAGTATCGTAAATACCCTACCAGTACAACATATACAGAGCATAATTTAACCCTTGTGTCTAGCTTCAGGAACTAGCACCTTGCACCTTGGTTTAACATGAAGAGGAGAAAACAGTCCAAATTAATCATTTTAAAAAACGGAGAAATTCCCACATGGATTCTCTCGTTAAAAGAGTTTGCACAAATTCACAGCCACAATTCTTCAGTAGTTTATGCTGCAAGTGGCACACAATACATGTTTAGCATCTGTAAGAAAGAACCAGAAACAGCTCAATAACTCCAAGGTCAGGGATTTCCCCAAGCTAACACTAATTCTACTACATTTTGCATTTTCCTACTAATATCAAGGAACAAACATCAAATAAATCTCAGCTGGGGAAAAACATCATCAAACTGACCCTCGACAGAAGTTACACTTTGCAGAGTACATGGCAACAGCCTGCCTTCTTACACAGGAGCTTTGCAATGATGGAGTGCAGCTTAACACAGCTTGTAAGAATTTAAACAGTGTTTAGGCTTGGGGTTTCTTTTCAAAAATTTAAGCCAGCACAGTGGTTTCCAGCCATGTCCTGGTGTAAGACTGAATACTTAAGTCACCACTATGCAGAAAAATCAACACAGGATTAATATGTGTCTATACAGATGTGCACACACACAAGTGTATATCTGCACATCTGTCTATAGCTATTTAGATCTATACATACCTCGAGACAGTTAGGAGCTACTCAAGACTCATGTGGCACTAAAAGTTTCCTTGGGTTCCTTGCACAGGTGTGAGTTTCAGCTGTAACTGTTGGAATGGTATTTTCCCAAATGAGATCTTTTCCTGTACTTTTTCTTTCTTAAGTAAGCAGTGCTCCCTATACAGCACCCTGACCTTGGCCTTTATTTCTCAGATTTAGGGTCTCCTAAACATCGCTCACTCAAGTTTAGGAGTTGTGCTGGGTAAGCTCAACTGATGGGATTAGAGAAAAGCAGAAGCTACTCTAGGCAGAAAGGAATCTCCTGTCCTTGTGTAAGCAGTGCAAGCACCACGTGTCTTCTGAGCAGTGTGCACACAGCCATACAGTGCAGACTCAAAGCCAGACAGCCAGACAGTGATTACCAGCATCAGGTCAAAACTGGATGTCAAGCACTATTTTGTCTTCATAGAGGGCAATCACCAGCATGATGGCAAATCCAAGAAGCAGGCCTAGATTCTGAAGAATAAACTGCCCCACAGGACAGTAACCATGCTCCTCATTGTCTCCATCTCCATGAAGCATTTCTGGAAGCTAAAAGATACAAAGCAATTTAAGAAGTTATTTCACCTCTATTCCATTTATACATGAACACTTTTACAAGATGATATTGTCAAAAATAAACACTTCAGGGTTCAGATATCAAACCAATATACTAAGACACAGCTTAAACTCTACTGAACAACTACATTCAATAAAACCATGGTCACATGGTATGTTTACAAAATAAACTAAAAATGCCTTTCCTTGAACTTTCACCAGATCATCCATGTAATTGAACATTAAGTTCCTCAAGATAGGGTGCAGCCCAATATTCTTCAAGTTCTGCTCTTTTCATTTTAAAAGAATTCAAGTCATGCTCAAGTAAACATATGACTTTGGTTAATGTAGCCAGTCATCTGAGACAGCCAGGAAGGAATCAAAATCTACTCTTATTGTGTGCCAGGTAAAGAGATCTTTCAGAAGGAGGTTGATCATGCAAACACCAAGACAAAACTGGTTCAGTTTCAAGTGTTTCTTGCAGAAGATTTCCTGCTGTTGTTGAGTCAGGCCATGGGATTTTGGTTACTCTTAAGATGGTCGAGGGAAAGAAAAGGGAATGAAGGAATGAAAGTACTGCCTCCCTTTATCCATGACATCTTCAGTCAAAAGACAGGAATTAAGTATCAGACACAGAGCTTACAAGGAAGTGATATTTCAGGCATTATAGGCTACTACTTCACCTAAAGTTGCAAGAAGGATCACTCTACCCAGACATTCTATTTAACAATTTAGCAGGCCCGGGAAAGGATTTATTCACCTATTAATAGATTAGGGTGATTTTATAACAACAGCATATTTACAAGTTAAAGACTCCATAATGAAGTGGAGAGCATTAGAGCATTACAAAGTACCCCAAAAGTGAAAAATTATCATGTTTGGGCTGGGAAAGTGGGAAAATTGCCTTATTTAAATGAAGCTCTGAAGCAGCTTAGAGAAGAGAAATCAGGACAGAATATGGGCTGGTAACATGTGCACAGCAGTATTGCTGCCTGAAGGGTCTGATCTATGCTGTATACACACTAAGGATAAAGCACCTGTGTGTTCTTGAAGTAGCAACATTTTTCCACCAGGTAATTTTTGTAAAAGCTACTCATCACAAGAGCTCTGGATTACCAGCTGCTCATAGTAAAAGCTCAGACTAAATTTTCCAGCACTGAATATATGACGATGAAATCTCAGTGAAGAATAAGCCTGACCACCAGACTGAAGTGCAGCACTCAGAGAAGCGCCAGGTTCCTGCCCCAAGCCCCAGGCAGCCGTACCATGTCAACCAGGGCCACGTAGAGGAACATGCCGGCGGTGACGGCGAAGATCCAGAGGGTGATGTTGTTGGTGTACTGCCCCACGGCCGTGCCGATCAGCATCCCGATGTAGGCCATCATGGCCGACAGCAGGTTGTACACGATGGCCTGCTTCACTGTCATCCCCGCCTTCAGCAGCACCGCAAAGTCACCTGCGGGGACAGCACGGCCATCAGCAGCCTGAGCCACAGGATCGACCACCTCGGGAGAGCTGCACTTAGGCACAGCCATCCCTCAAATATCATTTCAAGGTGCCCGTTCATCATGCTGATTGTCAGAAAGGAGCGGTGATTAACTGGGAAGGCTGAATGGAGGGGTCTAGGCCTGCTCTTCCCACAGAGAACACACCTGTGTGCACACACTCATCTTTCTCAGAAGTTCTTCACTGCACACAAAACCAGAGGCTTAGTCAGGATCAATACCTGTGAAAATTCCTCTTAGCTAAACACACCTCATTATGCAAATCCAGGGAGAGAATAATGAGGCATTTGTCCCCACAGAAGATGACAATGAATTTGAATTTGAGCACAAGGAAGAGTTACATTCACAAAGAATGACTTCACATCCACGCTGAGTCAGTTTTCTGGGTGAAGGCATGCCAGGGTAATGTGTTTTATTCTGAATTCAGGGCAGCTTTGCTAAATTAGGTGCTAAAAGTAGGTATTCTGTAAAAATCTAGATTTCAGTCTTGTAATCAGCTCTAATAGTTTTATTCCATTCAAACTGAATTCTTGTGATCACGAGAAGTGTAAGATGATGTACAGACATGAGGGCAATTAAAGTAATATTCTTACATAATATTCTTATACCCATGCCTGTAATTATTTGCCTAATCTAGAATAAAAAATTAGAATCAAAACATATCAAAATTTAAAAAAAAAATAGGTATAAACTACTCACCCCTTATACAAGGTTCATTTCATCATGCTATGCTGGCAAGTTCTAAGCACTCTAATATACATTGCAATCCTTTATATACTGCAACAGCTTCACTTAACTAATGATTTTGTAGCATAGGTGTCAAACCACCAACGTCTGCTCTATTATTTCCCCCCTATGCCCACGATTTACCTATAGCTCAGGAGCTGCCTATATAAAATGCTTTCCCCTCATCACCTCTAAGGTTTTAGAAGTGTTGGTTTTACCTCACTTTTGATCATTCAGACCCAACAGCTCTTCAAGTGAGCAAGCTGTGAGAACAGACATAAGTCAATCTAGCACAACTTCACTTCAGTGGAAAAACAGAAAACTCCTCCTCTCTCTGGTTGCTCTTTTTAAACTC